GTCTCTCTCTCTCTCTCTCTCTCTCTCTCTCTCTCTCTCTCTCTCTAACTGGTCACCAATTACAATGGTAGCACACATGCTAACCCCAGCTTAACCATTTAAAGAAAAAGAAGGAATATGTTAACTTACCGTACTCCTACAATTGATTTTCTTGCGGTGTCGTAATCCGATAAGAGCTGAAATCTCATCTCTGTAGTGAGAGAAAATGTGATCATAGAAAACTGCTGGGGTCCCTGGATGTGTGAGAATATACGCATAGCCTTGCATTTCCTTTCCAGAAGGGAACCTCCAATGGCCCTAGTAATAAAAAAAGCATCTTCATGTTAAGTAAAACCTCCAAGAAGGTTTATCGAAGGAGAAGAAAATTCCATGATGCAGACACTTCCAATCTATATAATTATAATACATTTGTCCACGTCGTGTATTGGACTTGTGTATTACAAGTGTATTGGACTTGTGTATTACAAGTGTATTACAAGTTTATTCCCATATCTGGAAATGTCATTAGGAGAAACCGTCCTAATTATCAAAGTGAAGAGGGTCCATAGTGAGTGGCTTTAGCACCTGATTGGGAATCATTGCAGCTGTTATGCCTAGAGGCAAAACTTGTAATTATTACAAGCTTAAGTATACTATGACTGCACAGATTGCTACATTAAATCCAATGTCCAATCAAGAATTTTCGGGATGACACTAAAACTACCTGTGCAAAGAATAGAATTAACATGAAAGGAAATATTTTAACAAATGATTAAAAGATGCAAATTTGGAAGACAAGAAATTCATAGAAGTACAATACCTGAGTGGACCCTGTATCATGATTCTCAATGAAAGTGACAGCCCGTGAGGGCCACCACCCAACAACTCCTGGTGGTTTGCCCTTTTGGTCTGATAAACGCCAGTATTCACACTTTCCAAGAGCCTACTCAACCAAAGAAACACAATAAGGAAATATCAATTGCTAAATTTTTTCAAAAAATATCACAAAAAGGCATCTCTGAATTAGAAATGAAATAATGGGGGGGGAAAAAAGAAACTCTAATCATTTAATATTTAAACAGTATCTTACAGAATGGAGGATGCCCTTTGTGGTGACATCGAATGCTCCTGCTGTGCCATTTGTAGCATTTATCCAATCAATAATGCGCTGTCTATGTGCATCTTGATTGTGATCCATTTCACCATATGTATAGCTGAGCGAGTCCCAGTACTCCCCTACAGCAAAGTAGGGCTCAGTGGCATCTAAATAGTCCTTGACATAACCTCCCCAAAATCCCCTGACAAAGTCTAACCTCCAACCGTCGTACCCAATTTCATTCCTACATTTGTCATATTTTCCAGCATCAATTTGCATATTAGATATAACTGATAGGACACTGGAAGAATGCACAATCAAGTATATTAAAAAATTTATGTACCGTCAATTGCGTTTAAAAGTCCACTCGAACACTCGAGTCACTTGGGCTTGGCACCCTGCCAAGCCTGAACCACACACATGGACCGGCTAAGTCCGGTCAGTTCCATTATTCTATTTATAATAATATTTTTGGTTGAACTCGACCAAATCTCTGACAAGCTTGGCCGAGCCTGTCAGACCACGGGATTGGGACCTTAGTGAGTCCTCCTGACCTGAGTCCATGTTTTCTAACCTTTTCACAACAGAAACTCAGGTTTGTGTCACATGGCAAATATAATCACCATCTTGTTTCACATGTGAATGTTTATAAGCCAAAGTAATTATCTTTGATAATGAGAATGCATTAAAAAGGGGGCATACACAATCCACAAAGATCCTAAAAATATAAAATATTTATTTCAATGACCATGTCAAACAGGAACTGTTGCGGATAAGAGATTCAAATTGCCAAATCATGGAAATTCAAGATATCCAACTAAAGAATATATCTTATCCCCAAAACTTGAATATTGTAAAGTATATCATTTGTAGTACCATCCACAGTTACCAGAAATAAATAATCACATTAAATAATTAAGTAAACAATTCAACCACAGTTTTTGCTATAATCCAACTAACGATGGCATGCACATACATTCCGTGCAAATGCATCCTACGCTATCCTGCATTAAGTTGAAAGAGGCAGTTTGAAAAGGCAATACATACTATACTATTCCTACACTTAACAGAGAGTCAGAGCTCAGAAACCTTAGCCAGTTGAGCCATTCTTTCAGGTCATTCCTCACAAAGTCCTGAGAGTGATCAATGTTTGGTGCGGCATGGAAATTGTCACCACTACTCTTGTTGCCCCTACCCTGGACAACAGAAGGAAGCCTTTAATAAAACAAGCAGCATATAAGGCCACAATCATTCATTATCTTCTCCAAAAAGACCAGCAATTCTTCAATAATAGATTATATACCTGGAAATGAGGATCATCAGCAACAATAGCACGGTCATCCCAATTTAATCGGCCTCCAAAGATATTCCACACCCCATTTTGATTCTTGTAATGTGCGCAGCGATGATTTAACACAGCATCACCAAGAACTTTAATCCCAACTTCATGAAACCTCCGCACAAGTGTTTTGAGCTCTTCTATAGTTCCATATCTAATACACACCACAGCAAAAGGTCGAGATGGATCACTTGAACATGGAAATGGTCTAGGAAAGAAACTTGAAGACCCAAGGGGGAAAAAAAAGAAAGTGAGAAGAAGAATTAAGCAATCATGGTCTCAGTGTTAAAAAATTCATCAAAAACGCCTAGGCGGGGCGCCTAGGCGGCTTGCGTTTTTTGTGATTTATTGAAAGATCAATAACTTTTTTTGTTTTTTCGATTTCTTCTTCTTCGTTTTTTTGAGAGTGTTATTTTTTTTTAGAATGTTATTTTTTCGATAACTTTTTGAGAATGTTATTTTTTCGATTTCTTCCAAAATCAAAGGCAATACTTCGTGGTAGTTTTCATAGGTTCTAGTGGTCAATAGTGAGGACATTTGGTGATCGAATAGACAAGGTTTGGGCCGAGATCGTTTTCATTTTTTTGAGTATTATGCCATTATGATATTTGAACAAGGGTTCAAGTTTTTTTGCTATAACATATTATTACGTTTTGAATCATTTGATTTTCCTTTTTTTAACTGTTTTTTCCATTTATGATATGTTTATATGTTTGTAGTTGAAAGATTTGATTTTTTCGGTGATTAATTGATTATTAACTCGTTTGAATGATGAAATTAGTCCTATATTGAATTGTTTTATGAATAATGGGTTCTTATTTTGTACAATGTATGATCTTTTGATATCCTATTAGTTTTGTTTACTTTTTTGATATTTTTACATATTTATAGATGGAACATTCACTGATTTGGACTTATATTTCGTGAATAGTCGTAAACTTTGGATGAAATTGATATTTTGTGAATATTTGATACCCAAAACCAAATCTTATGGATATTAATTAATAAATAATAATTATTTTAACTTTTATCATAATTAATAGTCCCTACCCGTCCTTGTTCCTGGCAGGCGCCCGGCTGGCCCCCCAAAATGCCTAGGTGGGCCCCTACGCCTTTTTGAACACTGCATGGTCTAATAATGGTGCAGACCTTAAACTTTCCCGTAACTGTCCCAAGCCCAGGTACAGGAGTTGTGTTAGCTAGACAGCCAACGTAAAACTTTACTACATCTTATCATGAATCCTGAAGGAACATGATTTATGTAGCCAATCCAAATAATTGGGATAATGCTTGGATGATGATGATGAAAAGGAATCAATGTCTTCTTCAAAAGTCAACTTTTTCAAAAGTTTAACAGAAGGTACGAGGTCTAAGATCCCTTCATTTGCTTCCATTTTTTATTTCCACAAGGAAAACAAAATAAATGAAGCAGATGAAATAATTGGGCCTGCCAACTTCCATTAATGTTTGAGTTTAACTTGTTAAAAAAAAAACTCAGTTAATGTTTAGGAAAGTGAGAAAGAGAGTGCCAATCATTGATTTTTTTCCTGCTCAAAAGATATTTATGTTGCTGCAATAACATAAAAGAAGCATTTGTTGAAAATTGAATGTAACCATATTAATAATTCCAGAACAGAACGATCTTAGGAATCTGATTCAGGAAACAATTAGGAATTAACTCCAAAACCAAAACCACTCTAATAAAGATTATAACGGGAAGTGGAAGGTTGAGATTAATTCAACAATGCCTAAGGAAATCGCATAAAAAAATGGAGGATCCCGGTAATAGAGAGCCCAAAAACTTGTGAGAAACATATCTAATTTTGTCATGTGCTACCTATGAAATTAACTCAAGAATTACTGCATGAGATATATATATCAACAAACGTAAACAAAGCCAAATATCTAAACTTATCTATGACTACCTTGAATTTAAGTTATACAAGTCTTTTGGCATGTAACCTTCAGGCGATACTGATTCTGTAGGTGGAGGCAGCCATATTACAGTGAATCCCAAAGAAACTATATCAGCGGCTTTTTCATAAAGTTCAGAATACCATCTTCCTGATTTATGAGATTCCCAGTTAAACCCTTGACATAGTACTTCATATCCTGTTCCTGTCCCTGAACATATTTTGGGTTGGGGCTTCTCTATTTCTGGTTCCGAAACTAATTCCTTAAGAAATGTAGGAATAGAGCTTCTGAAGATGCTATAGGCTTCGGCTGCCAGTTTCTCTATTTCTTGAAGAATACTTTCACGAGCATCTTTGCTTTTCATATTTGCACTCCTTTCAGATGAAATATCACTAACCAAGCTCCTTATTTCATTGATAATCTCATCTGTATATGAAACACGACTAACTGGCGAATTTGCACCACTTTGAGATTTCTCCAGTTGGGATGATCCTGATTCTTCAATAGTCCAAGTGTCATTTTTGACATCATTTGAGATATCCTCTTCTTTGTGTCCTTCAGGCGCATTAATCTTTTCGGTAGGCCTCACACTACTAGTTCCAATTTCCGCAGAAAGAGGAATATAAAAATCACTACCATTATTGTTTAGCCAAGTGTATCCATCGAGCTTGAGCACAAAGAGCAACCCTGCAAGTTCCTTGTCTAGAGTGAATAAACCCCAGCTTCCACCACCATTTTCCTTGAACTGCAGTATAGCAGGGAAAATTAGCTCTGAGAACAAGAATGGGATACAAATTTACAAGTCAAACACGAAATGTGAGCAGAAGATTTAAAAAATTAAGAAATTAGTAGTTAAATTTCCAAAATACTTACATCAAAGCTATGGGAAAAGAAATGCAATAGTAAGCTTAGGCTTTGACGAGGAGAAGCAATATCAATAAAAATAGATGACTTACAACATTTGTTAAAATGGCAAGGGGAATTGGGAATCATACAGCACGACTAATGTATTATGCCCAATGAGATAAAGAGGAACATAAATTCTAGGTGGGACCCTTGATCACTTTAGCAACAGGATTGTATAGAGAGTAGCACACGCAACACACCTGCCGTAAGTTAAACTACACTAAGCGTCATAGGAATAAAATCAGTAAACGGAATCCATTACTCCATAAGGCATTTAGGATAGACTCGTTTGTAGGGTATTTCTAGAATGGTACTGTTACCAAATTTTTGTACCCTTCAGAATAATTCTGCCAATTTTACATGGCCTCTTATTGAATTATACATTCACATTGCATTGTACTCTACAAGCGATAAAATGAGAGAGAGCAGACTTAGGTGAGCTGGCCATGTGTGGCGTTGACCAAGTACAGCACCTGTTAGGAGGCAATTATAAAATTTGTTTAGTATAATTACAAAATGCTCTATGGTGTGAGCACCCTAACATAACCCATATGTGTGTGTGTATATGTGTATATATATATATACACACACTCACACGCAACGCCTATGGGCAAAAATGAACAGTATTTTTTCCCATAAGCTTGACACCGTCGGATTATTTTGAACGACGCGGTCAATTTTCATTTGAAAAACACAAGAAACTGCAACGGCTCTATGAAAGCCGTGGCAGGGTGAAACACTATTCATTTTTGCCTTATGGCATTTTTTAAGACTTTTTTTATATATATAGGTAGCCAACATAAAATTTTGCCAAAACTTATCATAAATCCTGAACCTACATAGACCATAATAGCATACCAAGATTCGTATAGCTGACCCCAATTAGTTGGGAAAAAGCTTTGACGATGATGATGATGATGATGATTGCATTGTACTCTACATTTACACACTTTCTCAATCTTGTTAAAATCTAACTAGCCAAGCCACTCAAAGAATAATATGACAAAGAAAAAAGATTATGTACATTAGAATATAAAATTTCAGAATTCAATGCAACATTTCAATATCTACAAATCTCTGCCCTTGGAAATGTAAAAATTCAGAATTCAATACAACATTTCAAGATCTATAAATCTCTACCCTTGAAAACTAAATTAAAATGGCAACACACATTTACCCAGTCCATGTACTAATCAGATCCTATCATAAATAGTTTGTTTCCATCTTAAGAATAATATTTTCTTCCATAATTTATATCCTCAAGGAAGGCTCTTAGAAATACCTGTAAAGAAGTTTGCAGGGCCTTTTTCCTGAACAAATTAGTACTAGGGGGATGTGAAGCCTGTGGGATTTCCCATTTTTTGCCATTATCTCTGCAAACTCCCCAATGAATAATTACATTGCCAGGAAGATCAGTGTCAAACAACACAAGAGCCTTGTTCTTTTCCTCGTTTTCCTGAACTGACACAGTGAGATAATTTCCAACCATTTTTTCCTTCATAAATATATATTCATCATAGAACTCTTCAATGAGTTTAGCCTTCTTCCTAGCATCTTTGCCATCACCATTGGGCTCTTGGCCATTAGCTTCACGTTTTATTGCAGTAAGTAGCACTTCAGGCATCTTAACAAAATCCCCTGCAAACCCAATGGGACAAAGATCAATTGTAAATCATTTCATAAGAGTTTGAAAAGAACACCAAGTCTTCACCCTAGAGCAAAAGGTATCCAAGAAAATAAGAGAAAATTTTAGATGTGATTAAAATATAAACAAGTTATGAGATTCAAAGATTTTCAGCTGCAAGGTTATACAATCGTTGGTGTTCAGTGCTAAAAGGTCAACATAAGTCAAAACTTGCGTAAGACCCATATCAAATTCCATAGAATCGCTATTCAAAATCAACACAAATAGTATTTGGCATCTTTCCATGGCTAAGATATCTCTGTAAAAGTTTAGATGTGTAGGTTCCTTCTGGAAATATCATCAATTCCAACAACTTAGGCTAATCTACTTCTACTGACAGAGTAACTTCATCATCTATGATGCTTCAATTTAATTTGAAATTTCTGAATAACATTATGTTCTTACTTAGAGTATGCCTCAAAAACATGTGCTTCACAATATATCAATTTCTATATCAATTGGGAAAAGGTTATAATGATGATGATGATATAAGTTCCAGTTCTATTATGGTTCCACAGAGGGACTATGTGCGAATGACCCAATCGACTGACTCCTTTGGTGTGATCTAGCATAATCAACAAAGCAGACTACACCGTTGTCCATATCAATTTGTATAGCACGACACCAAAAAAAAAACAATGTGGAGATTGACTTCTAACCTGGCCATAAACTGAAACTCTTTTTGTCACCAACCTTGTCATTTTCATCTTGAAGATCTTCCAAAAGACAAACCCTGAAGTCTCTTCCTCTGTGTTGATACCAGGCCCCTGTTTCTTCATCCTACAACATGGGAGAATAAAAAGGACAGTAAAAACAAAAGACCACACTAAGAAGCCCATGCCATGAAAATGAAAAAGACATCCCCAAGATATGATGTCAGTCATGTGGGCTACAAAGCTCTATCCTAAGAGTGTTGACTCTACCAAAGAAGATAACACGATTTTTCCTGCCTAACCAAATCTTCACATCCTAGGATGTAGCAGAACTGGAAAAGTCCTGATTCTGACAAAGGATTACCAGGATTACACATAACTTTACTGCCGCTTAGAAAAGGGAAAACTTTTTGTGAGTCCTTAGAAACAACAGACTATAATGTTCCCTCACCTCAAAAGCTACTTTTGAGGTGTGTTAGAGACCAGAAAAAGCTCGAAATCACCTCCATATCATGATTCTCCAAATAAGAATTGATTTAGAGCTTCCATATAAGCCGTAAATCCCTAAGATCACATCCAAAATAGATGGCCCTCCAAATAAGAATTGATTTTAGAGCTTCTAAACAAGCCGAAAATCCCTAATATCACATCCAAAATAGATGGCCCAGTTATGATTTCGGGGTGCAATAGATTTGGGGTTCTGAGCCTTTATATATATATATATATATATGGAGATTGTTTTCAGGATGGTTTCTCAAATAAGATTTTATTTGGAGCTCCAAATCCTATAAATCTGACCACTCAAATGGGCTGTCCATATTTGAGTTTGGTAGTGGAAATGGACTTGAAGCATTTTTTGGAGCTCCAAAACAATATTCTTTCGAGGAGACTATTCTTGGAAGGAGGAATTGATATGGCATTTTTCTGGGTATCACCCACCTTACAAGTGGTTTTTGAGGTGGGGAACATTGTAGTCTTATATCCTAGAAAGTTTCCCTTGTAAAAAAAAACAGAAAGTAAATGAAATGAACAAGAAGAAAATTTTTCAGGGATTTAAACCTTCAAAACAAAATGTAAGGCTCCAACTGAGTGGTTCACTTTAATATCTATCTGCACTTCATAGAGTGAATTTCCTTCCACAGCCAATGGGGATTTCTTCAAGGGTGTTTCTATTGCATAATCCTGAAACATTCATATGAGTAAGTATTTCCAGAATAAATTACCTAGGTATCGGCTATCAACATACTTTGTGCACAGATATTCAAAGTTTTGTACACACCTTGATGGCAATAGAATCTGGAGGTCTCATATCAGGAGGAGGCTGATCCCACTCACTACAGTTTAACCCAATCATTTGAAAGGAAAAAAGATCAATATTAGTATTCTAATAAAAACCATTGCCATAGATCATAACATGTACACATGATCAACTTCTGAGGGAGCACATGCACTGCATTTTGGCCAATTCATTTGAAAGCACTAAGAAATCAAAAGCATTCTTGTAACAAAACTACCACATATCATAGCATGCACACATGATAAATTTTTAAGGAAACACATATTAAATCTTTCAGCCTAGAGTAAAACAAAATTTTAGTCAATTTCACATCATTTATAGGCTCTTACATTTTGGTTATTTCTAAAAATAAGAAAGAAGTTTGAACTGTACCCAATTAAAATATGAAGAGGAAACAAATCAAAGAATCACCACATTGAATAACCTGCTTCCTTAGGAAACCAAGGAGAAAGGAGCTTTTGAAATAATTATTATATTGACATGCAAAACATGACCACCAGCATCACCTAAAACAATAGATTATGAGGAAACTACAGTCACGTTCTTTATCTGTACTGTGTTTCTAGTTCTAGAAGAAAAATACAGAAGGAAGTATATTATGTGTGCGTATACACTCTAAAACACCTGAAAAGACATGTATATATATAAAAAAAAAAGAATTAAGCACAACTGTTACCTACTAACATCATCGTAATACGTTACACCCCAATGCAGAACCCACTTTCCTGGAAGATTGCATCCAATAGCAACCTGAGATTTGTCATCATCTTTCTGGTGATCTACCCTCACTGATATTTTCCCCTCTACCTATAGCGTATACCAAATTAAATTTATAGAAATCAATGTCAAAAAATCATTTTAGTTATTTTGACTAAAACAATATTCCATCACAACCCACAATAACACATGAAAAATTCTACAAACAAATAACAATGTTAATAACAAGTAATTGGATAGTCTACCATATTGCATGTAGTATACTGTTTGTATGTCATACATAGGTATCACCATCTGCTCACAGTGCGGATGGCGGAGACAAACTCTACCTCTGCCGTTGTCTTATAAAATGCAGGAACTCGGTTCATCTTTTCCATCCATCACTGAGACTTGACAAAGATAGTGTAGGTTGCAATTTGCATGCAGTATACAAACTTTGTGCCCCACCCATGTTGTTGTTTTGTATGCTAAATGAAGTAAAGTATACAATCCAATTAAGTTAAACAAAACAAGTCACATGTAAACACAAAGGTAAAGCAACTGAAGATCCCACAATTTATTAAACTGAAAATTTTTTATTCCTCAAAGATATTTCATAATTTCCATTAAAAGTCTACAATAACACAGCTGAAATGTCAAAAGAATATCACAAAAAATAGCTTAAATTAATTAATTAAATTCCTTAACAATGATCCTACAGAACTTGCTAAAGCAATGATCCCACCAAAACTAATAAGAACAAAAAGAAAATGCAACTACTGAATATATTACAATCAAATTCCATCAAATATAAAAAGAGTATCAATCAAATGCATACCAAAAAAATGAAATCGAGAAGGTATTCAATGAAATAGACTAAACTCAAACAGCCAAGATCCCTGAAATTCTACAGCAAACCCACTATAAATTCAACAAATGAAAAAGAAAAGGAGAGGACCTTAAGCTAAAACAAAAAAATACGAGAAAAAGCTATAGGAGACAAGCAATTAGAAAATGAATATAAAATTGCAAAAGGGAAGCTCAAATGGAAAGGCGAAAAAGAAAAAGGTGAAAAATAAATCAGCCCATACCTTTTCACTTCGCTTCAGCTGAAATGTCTCAGTAAACAAGACATCAGAAGCTACAGCTTCTTCAACTGAAGTATTCGTTGAAGAAGCACGAACCACAACTCCCGGCTTGATTTTACTGAAACTCCTGATGTCAAAACGCTTGTAAATGCAATTCAAGCCTGAAAACGTAGAATTTCTCAGCTTGTGGTTCAATCTGGGGTTCCAGTTACTGTAATTTCTCAGCTTCTGGTTCGATCTCGGGTTCCATTTAGTGTGATGGTGAAGACTTGGCTTCAATCTTAGTGTAGCCATTGAAATGGAGCAAAAACATCTTAGAAAAAACCACTCAGAAACCAGAAGGTATATATATGTTCAATAATGGAAAATAGGAATTTTATTAATTTATTAATAACCATTTTATTGGAATTATTTAAATTATTTAATGGGATACATTCACGGGAGAGTAGGCGTTGGGTTATCCGCATCTGGAATCTGGATCACGTCGTAACCTGATTTAAATAACATTTAATAATAAAAGAAATAAGGAAATTTATTTCATGCGGGATGGACCGTATTCCTACATATGTGGTCCAGAAAGTGTAAAGCATCCATCATTTATGATGGATGCAAGTAGGTATTCCACCTAAAACTAATAAAAACTAAGGGTCCAAATGTTTTCTTATTAGAATTAGTATTTTTAGTTTTTAAAATTTATTTATTTTTTCATATTCATTGTCTCCATGTTAGAAATTACATGTCTCTCAAAATGAAGTCTAAAAATCAAACCGTACAATTAATATTTAAGACAAAAATGTACACTTATCATTTGAAGAGTAAGAGCGATTTGATTTTGTGCAATACATTTTTACAACAATAATTTTTTAATTAAAAAAAAAAAACCAAGTAATAGCTCTTGAAAAATCTCATGTCAAACCTGCAAGTGATTAATCTAAATTCATTTTAATTGAAAAATGATTGATAAGTCAATATAAATTTAAAATGAACGATTTTTCATTTGTTTACGTTTTTTTTTGTTTGAAATTTTAACACATGTATGAACTAGTCGAATCGATTATGAGTCTAATCCAACCCAATTCACTGGACAATTGATCCAAGACAATTCCAAGAATTAAAACAATGGTCATGGAAATGATGTCCGACAGAGGTAGCATGTCCTTAGTGTATCGAAATGCCGTAAAATATAGGAAAAATATATCGATATCCCTATTTTTAGGTTTTATTTCACAATAGATCAAAAGTTTTAAAATATATCTTAAGATATAAAAATTGTAAATTTTATTTTTTCCTATTTCTTCCAACCTTTGAGTTACTTTGGACCTGTTTTTTTAGGCTAAACAAATATAAAAAGGCATATATTTTCTAAAAGTCATCATCCCAAAGTTCTCTCTCTTTCACTCTCCTTCATCTTTTCTCTCTTTCTGTCCTTCTCATATCTAACCCTTTACTTTCTCTCCTCCCTCTCTCTCTCTTCATGTTTCCCATTTCTCCTCACTCTTTTATTTCTCCACTCACTCCCTCTCCTCCGACTCCCATTTCTCCTCTCACTCTTTTATTTCTCCACTCACTTCTTCTCTTCGACTTACATAGTAAGTACAAAGAGAGAAAGATTTGTATTTCGATAAACACAAGAAAGAGAAAGGTATTTGGTGGTGAGAGGTTATCGAGATGAGAGATAAGTGTTTGGATAAACAGAATGAGATATAGGTGTTTGGATAAACACAGGATATGTTTAGTGGTGAGAAGTTATCGGAAGAGAGAGGGGTGTTTGGATAAACATAAGAAGAGATATAAGCGTTTGGACAAACACAAGAGGAGAGAGATACTTGATAGTGAGAGGTTATGAGAGAGAGAAGTGGAGATGCTTGGTAGTGAGAGGTTATGAGAGAAAGAAGTGTTTGGATAAACACACGAAGAAATATGGGTGTTTGGACAAACACGAGAGGAGAGAGATGCTTGGTAGTGAGAGGTTATAAGAGAAAAGTGTTTTGATAAACACAGGAAGAGATATATGTGTTTGGACAAACACATGAAAATATATAGGTGTTTGGACAAACACGGGAGGAGAGAGATGTTAGGTAGTGAGAAGTTAATAAGAGGGGGGAGAGAGAGAAGTATTTGGATAAATACATAAAGAGAGAGACAAGCATTTGGATAAATATGTGAAGAGAGAGTGAAACATGCAGCAAGTGAGAGAAATAAGGAAATCTGGGGTATATAAATGAAAAGAGAATGGATTGGGTTTAAAAAGAACATGTCTTTTTCACATTTATTTAGGTTAAAAACCAGGTTTAAAGTGGTCAAGGGGTTGGAAGATATTTTTTGAAACTTTAGATTTATTAAGAAATAAAATCTAAACAGAGGGGATATAGAGATATTTTTCCCAAAAAATAATTCACATAACTCTTATGTTAGATAGATTTAAACCAAAAAGGTGGAGTTACTCACTGTCATATGGGCTTTGTTTAATAATAAGTATTTATTATTATTATTATTACTATTATTATTCGTGTTTTCATGAGAGAGAAAAATGGCAATAGAGAGAAGTATGGCGAAATTAGTTATAGCAAGTTAGTAATAAAAGTAGAAGTCTGCGAAATATGAGTTTATTGTGCTTTTCTTTTTTTGGAAAATGTCATGGCCATTAAATTCAATAAAAGTAAAAGACATCCATTTTTCTAGATTTTATCTTTTGATTCAATTCTTTAACGAACATAAACTCATTCCAAATAATAAATCTAACAATGGTGGCCCCAAAAACTATGCAAATTGTCATCTCCATTTAGATGAATATGGATTTTCAAAATTAAATTGATTTTAAGCTCTAAAAATGTTGTATCTTGCAATATTATTTTCGTACCATCCACTTCAAGTCTTTATTGATTCCCCTGATTCGCATTGTTTTAAGTGCTCCAAATTCCACATGCAAGTTGGAAAGAAATTTGCAGCCACTGCTTTTTGGCATAGAGGTTTGAGTTTTTCAACGGTGGTTTGACGTTTTAAATTTAAAATTGAAAAGTATACAATGAGACCATTTATTTTTAGTATAAAGTGGTCACAATAAATCTTGACCGTTGGATGTGAAATTGGATGATTACATTTATTTCATAGACTATGCACAACTTTTAAAAAAAAAATATCGAACTTTGTGACACAACCTAGCTATCAAATTTCACATCATATGGTTATAAATAATTGTGGCTTCTTGTATCAAAAGTAAATGGCCTAATTATATACAATACCGTTAAAATTTCCCATTCAAATTGAAACATGAATAAAAGGGTTTGGCATCTGAACTCCAATGCTGCTATAGTACACCATTTTCCCTCATAAAGGGAAAGTATTTTGTAAGCCATTGTTTTATACAACCACATTCCTATTCTCATAAAAATGTATTTTTTATGCTAGAAAATCTTCAAATTGATCGTCCTCACCTCAAGGATAATTGATCTGAAAAAGAAAAGCAAAACATAAAAATTAGATTTTGAGCCCTAACGATGATCGGTGTTATATATTTTTTGGAGATGCCTTCTCATATTTTACAAATTTGCACTAGAACTTGGAATCCGATGTTTGGGACAAAAACAGATTTATAAGCCATCAAAGGTTTCTTAGTGCCGAAACTATGTTTTCCGAGGGGGTTTTGAGGCATAGCCTTGCCAAATTTTGTAAGGCCTCCGAGACTGCAACAATTGCATCCCTCGAAAAGCATACATAGCCTTGGGCATCGGTTAGAACTTAGAATCAAAACCCCGATGATTTTCAATCAAGATCGCTGATTTTCGAACGGGAATCAGTCAAAAGCCAATTTGTTCTATGATGGTGTGAGTCCTGGTTGGTACCTCCTCAAACCCTCTTTTTATATATGAGTAATGATCCTATAGGACCCTCCCACATCCATGTGTGTAGGACTCCAAAGGATCACCATTGAATTTGACAC